TTTTTCCACAATAATGCTAGTATTTTTCTTCCGTTATTGTTTTGAACTCATTTAAAAAATTATTTTTCACTTTTTAGTTCGATGTTCTTTTAGGGATTTTAAATTATTTGAATATATTATTAGACAATGGATTTCCCAATGAAATTCATCATGAAACATTTGTCATTATTTTAATGGGGTGAAACAATTATACAACCCATTCGATGTTTTGAAAATTCTCCTGCCATTTTCTGTAAAGAAAATATGATTTTCAAATCTTCACCAGAGAAGATTTTGGCTGAATTGTGACCGAAGTTCTGGCTTTCTCTCCACAACATACATATGTTATTATTCACAATATGTTCAAAATTGTATCTCGATATCTACCTAAATAAGCTTTTGCCTCGTTTCTCAACAATCCGATTTTGATTTTTCCCAGTTTCACAATTCCTGACATTATTACAAAAAATATTCGGTCTCTTATATAGAATCAAAAAATCTTAACCTAAATCATCCTGTACATAAAACAATCGCCACTGTTCCTAAACAAAGGTTATTTCCTACGTTTTTTTCTCTTTTCAGACACCTTAAATATAACATCAAGGATGAAACACCGATCATAGTTTATAATTATAGGAAATATAAGTAACATCAGAGTGTTTTACGATAGTTTTTAAAACATCTGCATCGGAACATGAAGATTTTTTATTTGATGGTGTCGCTGATGGGCGTTGCATATTGTAAAAAATTACGTGAGTACAAGAAAAAGGTCATCAATTTTCATTCAGGAAATGCTTCATGATTGATTCAATCTACAAACTTTCCAATAGATATACAATCTTTGATCATTTTCTCGTTTAGGAAATAACGAAATGGCTCAATTCATTGGAATCCTTATAATTTTTTTGCCATTAACTCAGATAATGCTAAAAATGTGAATAATTTTGCAACAAATGCAAATCTATAGTGATTTGTTTAATGATCTTCATAATTGGAACTAGTGAGTATCACAACGTCGAAAAAATGTAATTGTTGTGAATCATTACTAGGGTTTTTTTGGTTTCGTAAATCACAATGTTTGATTTATTTATTTTTTTGTAGTTTTTGAAATTTTTTTGTAAACCGTTTTATTATAAAACCAATATTGAATGCAAAATAATTAATGAAATATTTTTTCAGGCAGCAGATTATTAGGTAACCATTTTATAATAATTATTGAAAAGGCTATAAATAATTGAAAAACTATTTCAAATTAAGAATAACAACTCAACTTTGTTCATTATGGTTCAATGCATAATAGACTTCGAGATAAAAAAAAATCACCAGGCTTTGTAAACACACATTGAACAGAACTGGCCGATACTTGATGAAAATCCATATTGAAACTAATTAATCCACTTTATTGTATGATTTTTACTATAATAAAGGGTTTCACAAAAACCGCTTTCTCGAGTGTAAAGCTATTGTATAGCAAAACATGTGTCGCGGTTTTTGTAAAACCCTTTATAATGAATATTATACAATAAAGTGGATTAATTAGTTTTTTTTTGTAAACACACTTAGAAAAAATAGGTGGCTCGTGATACAGTAAATACATTTACAGAAAAATCTTTTCAATATTTGACCCTGTAGGTATGATATTAATCGAGGTGTAAGCCGATTGAGTCTCGCCAACATAATTTTTATGTCTCTTCTGTCACCAATGAGGAATTTTGGTGGATCGAATGGTATCGGAATGATTGAATAAGAAATATTTTTTGTAGCATTTTCAGTTTCGTAGGAAATTATCCCAACTTTGGATTTTCAAACAGAACATCCTTTATTTTTGACTGGAGTTCTATCCTAACACAAAACCGTTATTTTTGACACCTCGACATGTGTTCGTTTGGAATTCCAAAGCTGGAATAATTTCCTGTAAAACTGAAAATGCTACAAAAAATATTTTTTTGCCCAGCACTTTATCCAAATATTGTGATACCACTATAACCACCGAAATTTCCCATGGATAACAGGAGAGTCAAAAAATTTATGAGAGCGAGCCTGAATCGGTTCACCAGGTATATTGTAAAGATTACTTAACAACTGAAAAAAAATTGGTTTGCACGTTTTGATTACGTCTTCGTTTCAGCATCTTTCTTAGAAATATGCAGCAGATCGGATCCCAAAATTTTAGAATGCTTGCACAGAAACATAGACACGTTGCGCCCCATGTTCCTCGAAGGTGTTCCAGAACTTCAAATACCTTCGTTGAATCCTCTCCTTATCGATACAGTCACTTTTGGAGACGATGTCGGTATCAAGGTAGAATTCACGAACCTTCGGATCTATCAATTGAATAACTTCACCATCGAAAAATTAGATCTCGATTTGGATAATTTCAAACTGGACTTGACACTTACGTTTCCTAGATTGAGGATACTGGCAGATTGTCATATCACAGGAAAATTTTTGGGTTTGGAGTTAGATGGCAGAGGCCCAGCCGATGGAAATTATAGTGAGTCATATGATACAATTTTTATAAAAATATCTCAATCTCGGTTACGACACCGCCTGGGAATTACACACATCGGAAAAGTCTAGGGATATTTTTATAGAATACTAAATATCATAAAAATAAATGCATGAGGACGTTTAATTTCGATTAAATTGGTACACTCGACTACCCTGTAGATTTATATGGGTTGAACAAAGCCTGCAAAAACGGTAACTAATCTTTTATCAAATTTTTTACAAACTGTAGGTTTTCGGCTAAAATGAATAATCTGAAAGTGTCGAGTTTGTACATTCTATGCAGTTCTTGCTCAGCAATTAAACTGGAAATATTGTGCTTTAACATGGAACGCCATCACTTACCGTTGGCTGAGATGAATAGAGTCCCTAAAGCGATCTAAAAAAAATTATTGCCATTTTTAAAAATATCCCTAGACTTTTCCGATGTGTGTATTAAGTGTTCAGTTAAGTTATTAGTTGAGTTATATTATTTTTTATATATTGTATCGAAGTATTGATTTCGAGCCATAGTAACAAGGCCCGACCATTTCCATGTTCAGCAGTAGATTTAGTTTACAGTACATGCATGATGATTCTTATTATTTACACTCGTTTATTAATTATTGTAGGAAGTGAATAGAGTTATCGGTAGATTTCAACTCTCAAGCAGTAGAATAGCAGGTCAAGTGCCGAAAACAGGAGATCTTCTGCAGAAACAGTAAACTTAGCAACACTGAATATAGTGGATATTTCTCAGTATAATTGCATTACGACTCCGTTGTGAAAAATTCTTCTCACTTGCTGCATTTTGAATAATACTGCGATGGATATTGCTGATTTAACTTCTATCATGACATAACAGTTATTCATGCTCGCATAATCCCATATTTTTTTTAAGGACAAAACACAAGCACTACAAGAAAATCTTCAAGGCGCTCTAAGAGTGGTGCCTATGCGAAAGTAGCGATTCACATTGGATTTGAATCGCTGGAGATTGAATCCATTTGGAAAAACGTTCTCAGAAAGTTTATTCCATATAAACCCAGTTCTCCAGAAGAAAGAGTTCTTGAACAGTGAAGTTTGAAGTGTACTGAGTTGAACCTCAAAATAATGAGCAGCAACAGTTCGTTGCGTATATCTGATATGTACCGCTCTTGATGAAATCAAATGAAATCCAGCAACTTCATGGTATGTTTGAGGGCAGAGCTCCATACATGAGAACAATACTCCAAAGAAGGTCTTATCTGAGCTTTACAAAGCATCAAAAGTTACTGGGTGTGTGTATACTTTTCTAGTTCGGAACAGTGTTCCAAGTTTTTGACAAGCAGCATTTCCAATTCCAGCGACATGATTGTGCCAAGACATATTGCTGTCCATTTTAACCCCCAACAAACTCATTGAAGCAGAAAGCGGAATTGTCTGACCTGACATTATTATATCCGGTTTGGAGACATTTATCTTCCTGGAGAAAACCGATGCCTAGGTTTTTGTGGCATTGAATTGAATTTGGTTACTTTCACCCCGATTCAAAATCACTTCTAAATCCTCATTAAGATATGCAATCTCCTGCTGCCGGTAAACTGGAATCCACATGGAGTGACGAAACAAGTGTGCTGTCGTTAGAAAAGCAATGCATTGGATTCTTGGTTTATTCCAATGAGTCGTTGATATATGATAAAAAGAGGGTTGGAGTCAATATGGATCACTGAGAAACACCAGGGTTGATGGTGAAAGAGATATCCTTCGTCAGTTTGTTCAATTTTTTTTTATTCTCTAAATTTTCCAATAGTTAATCTGCTATTCTTGATTTATGAATAGTGCAACTAACATGTTTTGCGTTACTTTGATTTATATAAACGTTTTATAAAAAAGTTAAAACCGGAATTTGTGAATGACCTCGTCCAATTTGTGATCGTCGATCAAAATCTGATACGAACCATTTTTCTTTGTTTCACAAAGTATGTTTGAAAAAAAAGTTCAATTTTAATTTTTCTCAAAAAATATTTATTTATTCATCAATTTTTATTAAGTCCTCTTCAACGTATTCCCGCTCCAGATATAATGGTAGCGTTTTTTTCCAATCTTCAAAGCAGTGGTATGATATGCACTTTTTCGTATTCTCAGCGATTCGATTTTTATCTTCTCAATCGTCACAAAACGCTTTCCTTTCATGTGTCTCTTCAATTTTGGAAACAGGAAAAAATCGCAGGTGGCCTAATATAGTGAAAACGGTGGTTGAGGTATGATTACTGTGTTATAAACTAGAAACAACGAGTGAGCAGGTGCATTATACTGATGCAAAAACCATGAATGGTTTTTCCACAATACCGGACGTTTTTTTCGTATTACTTCTCGCAACCGGCGCATCATAACTTCAAAATTCCTTATTGACAGGATGACCATGTGGCAGGAAACTCCTGATACACTGCGTTGGGGTAATCGAAGAAAACGTAGAGCAAAACCTTGACATTTGATAGAACTTGGCGTGCTTTTTCCAGTCTTGACTCTTCTGGGCTTTTCCACTGGGACGATTGGACTTTGGTTTCGATGGCATAACCATATACCTATGATTCGTTACCAGTTATGATCCTTTTGAGCAAAACTGAATCGTCGTTGACGTCATTCTACAATTCCTGAGCGATGCTCATGCGACGGTTTTTTTGGGTAAAAATTCAGAAATTTTCTAACGAACTTCAAAATTTCAGAAAAATTACAAAACTGAATAAAACTGGCCGATACCCAATGAAAATCCAAATTAAATTGCATAACACGAGTCAATCGATATGCCGACATCCTCAGCAACTTTTTCAATAGTCATTCGACGATTCTTCATAATAATTTTTTTCAGTTTCTCAATATTTTTATCGGATGTTGATGCGCTGGGGCGGCCAAGGCAAGCGTTGTCATTTACATATTCTCGGCTTTCTGTGAAAACTTGACCACTTCTAAACATTTTTCTGACTCGGAGCACAATCATCATATCTCACTATTAACGTTTCAAGTATTTTTGAGCACCTAATTCCATTTTTCACACAAAATTTGATATACATTCTTTGATACATTTTTTCTATAGCAGAAAATCGCCGTACACAAAAACACTTCTAACTTCTATGCCTCTAATCAAGAAGCTAAACAGCTAAAATAGCTGAAACTGTGAATATAATTTTACTAATCCAATGTCGTAGCCCGCGAAATTTGAACATTCATCTTGTTTTTTGAACAGACCTCGTACATTCACTTCGCGTCAGGAGAAACAGTGCATATTTCTTCAAAACTGGTACGATAGTTTTTTAAGTTTTCAAGATATGAACTAATACGTATAAATTATATTTCATCTGTAGTACAAAATTTCGCTAACACTTATAAGTCTTAAAATATGTTTTTTATTTTGATTTTCTTTTAAACGTATAGCGGCATCTGCCCGCGAATAGTTCAAGCAATAACTGATAGTTACGTACAGCGTTATCTGCCCGCAAAGAGATCAAGTAATAATTGATAGTTACTTACAGCGCCATCTGCCCGCGAATAGATCAAGAAATATCAATGAGGTTCCGTACAGCGCCATCTGCCCGCGAATAGATCAAGCAATACTGCCGATAATTCTGTCAATACAAAATCCGAGCTTGAGAGTTACAAACATACATACATACATACAGGTGAAGCTAATATAAAGCGTGTAAAAATATGAAATTATGAACTATGCTGGCACTCACCTCAAAAAAATATAACACACGATAAATGTTTTCGTTACCATCATTTTCGAAAAATCATTTGATTTCTTTTATTTCCAGCCGATGTTAGAGGACACTTCAAAGGGGAAGGATCACGAATAAATACAAACGGGAAGGACTACGTCAACATAGACAAAACCTTGGTCGACATGGAAATCGGAAAGGCGCATCTCTATTTCGATCGCATTTTTGGAGACCAAGAAGACCTCAACGCCAACACGAATAAATTGATCAACGACAACATAAAGGCGTTCATCAAAGAACTGAAACCAGTCGTAGCTAAAATCGTAGAAGAATTCATAGGAGGGATTACCAAGAGACTGTTCAAGAAGTACCCCTTCGATGATTTGTTCAAACCTTGAGAGACATGGGTTTGTTTAAAATGAATTGTATGAAGCTGATACATAATTAATATTTTAATCTTTTATGTTCATTATTTTTTGTTCGATGTGGATTTTATATAAAATTATACTGCTGAAAATCAACTATTCAACGATACAAAGATAATAATACTCAGCAATTCTCTTGGTCTATTTCAGATTTGAAATTCATGTTCAATAGTTAAAAAGTTCCCCAAAATATGAACGATAGCTCTTTGGATTTAGAATGACGCATAGAAAAATGCGTTTTGATGTCTTCACAGCAATTTTTATTGATTATCAATACTTGAGGAATGGAAATTAAAGAAAATCAGAATGAAGAAATCCCAACTACCGTGACTCTATATTCATAATATAAATTTAACGACGAAAATAGGGCTCCTTGCGCTCGTTACAGCATGATCGACCCTAAAGACAATTTATCACAAGAAATAATGTTTATAGTATTACACATCAATTCAATAATTTGAATCAATTATCTTTTAATCACATTCATATCTTTTACAGCTTGAATTATGTAAGTGTTTTAAATAATTTTTATATGACACGCGTTCCGTTTTATATATTTCCGTTGTTTTTATTGCATAACTATTTTAGGGGATAGTACCTGATGAAAATCCATAACTTATTCAAGTTACACTTTATTGAGGGATTTTCAGTGAACGGTAAAAACATGCCTGAAGAAGCTACTGTACAGTGAAACACCTGTTGCGTTTTTGTGATCAGGAATAACATATCTCAGTTTGGTAGGTGTACAAAGTATCGATTTTTCAAAACAGATTATTGAGCATAAAGTTTTAGATAGCATCAACTAATTAGGTATTACTACAAATGTAGTGACATTTTATTTTTATATTTGGCATATCTTATTGAAGTTGTACCCATTCGGTAACCAAAATACATTTCTAATCGTATTAAGGGTAATTCGGAATTCTAAAAAAAAATGTTCGTGCAGCCCGAAGAACGTAATCTGATTTTTTAATTTCCAACAGCATCTTTCGTGGAAGTTTGTCATAGATCTGACCCGACGTTGGGAGAATGTGTCTTCAAAAATATCGACAGGCTAAGACCGAGATTACTCAAAGGCATTCCTGAACTTTCAATACCTTCTTTCGAACCACTAATTTTCACGAAAGCCGCACTCCAAATGGGAAAAGATTTTTCCGCTGAATTTTCCGATATCAAAATATACGGGGCTGAAAATTTTGTTCTCGAAACACTGGATTGTGATGTGGATAACTTGAGATTCGAAATTATAGCACAATTTCCCGAACTGATTACAACGGCAAAGTACAAGGTGAAGGGAAAAATTATGATTCTGCAGCTGAACAGTGAAGGATACCTCGAAGGGAATTACAGTAAGTTTTTCTCTCTTTCAATACCGTGTGCTGGCCAAATTAAATTATAACAATGATATTTTTTCACATAATCACGTCGAAGTACGACATTGAGGATGATAGTGTTCTATATAATTGAAATTTCATATTGTAACGCTTTCATATACTAAATTATGTGACTTTGCTATAAATTATATCTGATTCAATTTCGTAACGAATGTTTGAAGTACGAACTGAATAGAAAAAAGTGATTGTCGTCCAGTTTGTATCTGAAAGTAACTTCTATGCATGATCTACACATCTTTGTAAAAGTTCATTTTGAACATGAATGCTTTTTTTCTCCCTTTGAAAGATTTCCGCAATATTTTGTATAAAGATGGAGACGTGAACGCTCGAAGGCTTTTTTCCAATGAAAATTTATACATAAAAAATTTGATAATAGTAAAAACAATACGTATTTCAGTACATTTCTGAAGTCGCCCCTCAACTCTTTATAATTGAGAAGTGTAAAAGTTCATTAGGAACCTTCGTTGATACATAAAAAGTGGTTTTAGACAATTCGCTGGAAATAAAAAATATGCATTCCAGCATTTTTTTGAAAATATTGCTGCCAGCAACTTAACAGTTAGGCTGAAAAGTTCGCTAATATAGTTACAAAATAGGCCACATTCGATGATGACCTACCTCTTTATCGACGATGAATTTTTTTCCAGCGAGCATTCTCTTGAGGTCTGAGAACAGGCAAAGGTCCCTGGGGGTCAGGTCTGGAGAATACGGTGGATGTGGAAGCAATTAGAAGCCCAATTCATTCAATTTTGCTATCGTTTTAAATGATTTGTGACACGGTGCATTGTTTTGATGAAACAGCATCTTTGTGTTAGCCTACGAACTATTCTGCCCTACCTAATAAAGTTGCCAAAACAAGTACATATTGCTTGAACTGTAAAAAAGTAATCAATTCTTATAGTCACGTTAGGGCGTAATCACACGTCTTGAGTCTACGAATCCTATCCTATAGTTAAAACATGTGGCAAGGTTGTTTCTTAATCCAGTACCTATTGGTATATTACTAACGAATAGTGAATGAATACCTGACAAAATAACTCATTGGAGTGTCTACATGATTTCTATGAAAGAGCCAAGCCAAATGTTTTAACTAAGAGAAGGGTTTGTAGAGTCCAGTCGTGTCTATACATCCTTTCTCAAACAGTTTGGCTCACTATTAGATCAGATAATTCACTAATAGTGCAAGCAATATATATTCGTCTTGACAATACTTTACATGAAAATGTTTTTGGCGAAATCATTTTATCTCCCACTAAAATAATACACTAATATTTCTTCTCTCTACCAATCACCTAACTCGAATAAGAATGGATTGAAGTGGATTGAATTTTGTAGAATTTCAATTGATCAAAAAATGAATTTCCTCATGTTTATTTCTCATTGCCGTGTATTATATTGAGGACAATGAGAAAAGGGGAACAGGTTTTAAAATATAAAGAAATATCCAACACAGATATTTCTTAGTTGAAACAAAACTACTACTTTTTCTATGATTCTATGATTGTAGAAGTGACAGAATAAAAAATAAACCCTAAGGTACCAAAATAAATATTTTATCATATATCTTTCGCAACATCTTTGATGTTATTCTTCGAAGATTATTGCAATTGTAAAGACGGCATCTACGGAATCAATGAGGCTGAATAAAAAACCGTTCTATATCTCTCCGTAACTTTGAATTGACGCTTGGTTTTGCGAAATACCACTGCAGAGGACCGAAATTACTCTATTCGTCACCGATGCATGAAGATCTTTATGTCCATCGCTAATAGCTTTCGTACGAGATGTCGTCTACTGGCAGGATTGTTCTTATCGAGGCGCCTAATTCTAAAGGTATATTCGCGATCCAGCCGGGTACCATTAAGGCTGATGAAAATCAGAAGTTCATTTAAAGTATGTAATAGCAATTGAAGATTAAGATTTTGTATAATATTGAAAGTGATTTTGAAATTATCGTAAGAGTGAGTTTGCACAATGTAATTGTTTTTGTAGCAGTTTTTGGAGAATGAATGTATATGCGTTGTTGATAAATGATTTCTATTAAAGTATATAAAATCATGTTGATTTGTGTGGCATTTAAATTTCATTAGCTAGGCTTGACTCTTGCATTAATAGTAAAGATAAGGTAACCTCGAACAAAGTTGAAGTGACACGACTTAACTCAAACACATTTTTTTAGTTGAATACCGCTAGTATAAATATAGTGGTAACTCGTCAAAGAATTATTATCTAAAAATTGTTTTTTTTTACCATATCATTGTCTTTAGACAACATAACCAGAATAGTGTAATGAATAGAGGAATATTTACCTACAAAAGGTTCGCGTGTTCCAGATTGTTTATTGTTATAAAGCACGGTTGGTCGTAATTGAAATATAAAATGCACAGTTCCTTTTCCTCCGCGCCCGCCAGTGTTCCAAAAATGAATATAATTTAAAAAAACTAAAAAACACGCTTTTAAAGAACATCGAACTAAAAAGTTGAAAATATGTTTTTTAAAATAAGCTTAAAACAATAACGAATGAAAAATACTATAGTCTATTTCAAAAGAGTGTAGAGTAATAAAATCTCATTAAGTATTCAAAAGCGCTACAGGGTGATCCGTCAATAAATTCTGTCACTTCCCTAGTCCGCATTGCAAAATTATGTCGTTTCATAAAGAGCAGGTAGGTATCACCCTGTTTTAAGGGATTTGTCCATTGTTATCGACGGATAAATACTGAGCCAGAGGCGCGCTAGTGGGATAATTGCCAAAAGAATATGCATTCATAAAAATTATATTAAAGGAAATAAAAATTTAATACAGCAGAACAGTGTTATTAAAAAAATATAAAATGTAACAATAAAATATATACGAACCGAAATCGGGAAATACTCACAAACACACACGAACGAACTTTACGTATTGAAACACTTGTGGGGACTTTAAATCAATTTATTCACAAAAACGACAAGAACTTTACTGGATACGTTATTACAATTTGACACTTGAACAATACTAAAACTGTGAAC